ATTATGTAAATAAAAAAATATTATAAGATATAAAAATAAAATGTAATAATAAATAATAAATTAATAAAAATAAAATGTATGACAATAATATGTAAATATGCCGAATTATTAAATTAAATAAATTAAATAAAACTATAATGTCATATTATTGTATTATTGTCATATTATTAGCTAGCTACTTTTAAAACTAAAAAAAAATATGATTATCAATATTATTAGGTTTAACAGGGTGCGGCATAATGGACTCCCACATTTCCGAGGTGAATTAAAAAAAAACTATACAAGATATGGAAATTTTTTTTTTATTTATTAAAACTACATTAAGTAAGTTTTTTAAAGTTATTTTTCAAAAATAATATTGTCCAAATGATTATAGTATTATAGATTATATTATTCGAATATCATCAATTACCTACCTCATAATAATAAAACATAACGGATTAGGTATTACGTATATTAAGGACGACAACTATTTCAACTATAAGACCTCAATAAAAATAGGACTCGCACACAATTTGTGCTCGTCGTGAATTCGTGCCTATAAGTTTGGATAACTATACTATATACTGTATGCATAGTAGATAGAATTTTTTCCGACAACTGTCACTTATATAGCCATATATGTATACTATATGCCTAATAAAATATTATATTTTAATTTGATTTAAGTTCTTCATAAATTAATATACCTATAATTATTAACAGTTATATTAGAAAGCTAGTGTTTCGACTTTTCAAGTCGATGTTTACATATTTTTGTAATTCATGAAGTACTCAAGATAAAATTATATATTTCAAAATAATTATTTAATAAATACTGATATAATATTAGAAAAATAATTACCTTATAAAAATTCAGCTTGTTGACCTGTTTTAAACTCCCGACTGATTTTTTGATATTAACACCAAATACATACTCGTTCGTACTCTATCTAAATCGAAATGATTTCATATCTCTCTCGGAATTACTATATTTTGTTTTATTGTTATCTGTACATACATAGCTATTAGGTACAGAGTACTTAGTATCCAAAAGAATACCGTTCATTTTATCTCAACGTAAATCTATAAAATTTAATCTTTTTTTTTTCGATAATTTTAATTTGTGGATATATTTGACTGTCGATGTTTCGTACCAGACCCATTTATTGTGAACAATTTGTTAAAAACTAATCTTCGGATTGATAAACAAAATTAAAACAACTCTTAATATAATTTACTTTAAAAACAAAGTTAACCTAATAATACTTACCTATAATACTTAATCAAAAAAATTTATAATCTTTTCGTGGTGTCCCATGATGGGTAATGGTAAATAACATTATCTTAAAAATAAAATCACCAAAAAAAAAACTTTTGGAAGTAATTTACAATTTTCTCTCATTTTGATGTGCGTAAATCCAAATTGTAAATATTTCAAAGCAAATCCTCGAAGTTTTGTGGGATTGTAAAATTAGTAAATATGTATAAAATTAATACAAATTTGTATTACGATGAGTAAAAATTTAAGTGACAAATTATTAATTACAAATCTGAAAATTTTATCTTTACTGATCATTAACTAATAATTTGACTTAACAACTGTAGGACATCCTGTATGCTTTCGCTGTCATATCACTTATATCCATTCAGTCAAAATTTTTTTGTATATGTTGAACGCAATGATTATTATAAATTTATCACTAAAGCTAATACACGACATATACGTATTTTTGGACTTAATTTTTATTTTTCGGTGTGAAACGATTTCAAGTAACTTGTAAAGGAAAACATTGGCTTTAAATCCGGCACAATTTTTTTAATAAATTTAAAAATGGCACACCTGTGGACGTTTACTAGTAACAGTTCTTGTTTTTTATTTAGTACTTTTGCACGTAGGTTTGGCAATTTTCCTGAAAATCTTGGCAAAATCCAAAAAATACCAATCCTAAAGTAGCATTTGTCTAATTTCCCATCTAAGAGCAGTATATATATATATATATACTGTAGTAACATTAGATACCTATGTTAGTTATGACAAAACGGTTCTAGCTTTATGAAATTGTTTATAAAATTATCTTGTACTATAAAATATATAAAAATAGGTAATAGTAAGTTATTACTCATTAGTTACCAATTATTCATTTATCATTAATACCTATTTCTACACAATTTAATTACGTGCTAAACATAAATTATACTCGTGCCCTTAGATATAACAGGAAATTAATTAGTCACTCTATTCAAAACTAGCATACCTATAATCCAGTCATATTTTTAATTGTAGAAATATAGTTAATTTACTATTGTATTATTCATATTATTCCCAAATAGATCGTGGTGGTCCTTCGTTAAATTACAGTGCAATCAAATAATTTATTGATGTAGCAAAACGTACAATTGTCTTATTCGTTGTAAATTCCATCTGTATTCGATAAAGATTTCAATGTAAATATATTTTTTTTCTAGTGAATTAAATTTTAAATTTCTTTGTAAATCGTAATAACGTCGTTATAAAGTCAATACATATTATACGCCATTCCTCTCACGGCTTGTAATCTACAAATTTGCCGATATGTTGCTCAATTAAGTGTAGTGTTTAAGTAATTTTTTAAACGATAAAAACCGATACATCGTCGCATTTATGAAATTGTTCTTAATTAAGTGTTTAAACAAAGCTCGTTTCACTGAAAATAACGTGTGCCATTAATTCTAAGAACTACAAAAAAAAAAATTATAATAATAGATAGTAATTACATACCACGTTGTGATATTTATGCGTATAGTTGAATAACGTATGATGACCTACGCGAGTTAAACTAGAAAATAAAATAATGAAGAGCACTATAAAAATAAATATGAAAAAGTTAAAAGACAAATAGACGAGGCCAGATTGAGCCGGGTATGCTAAAGTAGCACACTGGGCCGATGCAATATGCAGATAAATTCAGTTTGATGTTATTTAATAATTTTAGGGGCTATAATTTAATCATTTCGATATCGCAATGAGGTGCTTATAATATAGTTTATTCACAAATGTCCTACAATCGTACAAGACCAGTAGTACATTTAAGGAATTGTGCATCTTTGTAAAATTAGTAGGTATAGTTAAAAATATTGATATAAAAATATAGTTTTTGACTCGATTTTATCATCGCGTAGAACACAGAACCACGCATACCTCCCAATCATCCACCAAAAGACACAGGAACGAGTTGTGCACACCTAATAATTTTAAACCAAGCCAGTACAGTTGTACAAACAATTGATTTCTATAAAATATGATATATATAAATTTGGATATTCTTATATATAATTATGTAAGGTATATTACCTTCTAACAGTTAACTGTCAACACTCATGTCGTACGACTTGTACCTACTATTTACTAATAATTACTACTATTGCTATTTCGAAGAAACTCCTTGTGTATACAGAATAAAAAATATAATATATGAGAACTCAGCTAACCTAATCCAATTATTTTTATTTGATTTTTTTTTTTTTTTTTTTTTTTTTTTATTGATCTGAACTATACATCGACAACTAGGCCATTAGTACACGTATTTTAGATTACATTGTTAGTATTTTAGCATTTACATGGTTACATTAAATTAAATTGTACAATTCTGTTTTTTTTTAAGAATAAAATTAAGTTTTTAACGTCTTGAGAGTTTGGTCCTAGTGCTTGACAAATTTGTTCTGAGATGTGGTATTGATTTCGATACTTGTTGTATTTTTGACATTCTGTGATGATGTGGTTGACCGTTAAAAGTACATTGCACGCGTCGCATAGTGGAGGATCGTCTTTGGTCATCAAATAGCTGTGTGTTAGGTGTGTGTGTCCAATTCGTAGACGGTTTATTATGGTTTCTTCTTTTCTACTGAGTTCAGGATTTATCCATGGGTTTATATTGTTTTTTATTTTATTGAGTTTGGTGTTGAGTTTTCGCCAGTGGGAATGCCATTTGTTGTTTGTGTGAAGTTTAATTTCGTTTTTTGCATCTGCGAATGTGATGGACTTTATGGTTGCAGTTAATGTGGAGGTGATTGCATTATGGGCTTCTAGGTCAGCCATTTCATTTCCTGGAATGCCTATGTGGCCCGGAATCCATACAAACTGGATGTATATATTTTTATTTTCTGCAAGAAAAGTTTCTTCTTGTATTTGCTTAGTGATATCTGTTTGGTTTCGAGTATTTGTGATGGCAATTAAATTGCTGAGTGAGTCGCTAAGTATTATACATTTTGTTTGGTTGTTTGAATATTCAGTGTGGAAATATTTTACAGCTTTGTATATTGCCATCGCTTCTGCTGTGAATATTGATGCTTGAGGTGGAAGTTTGTATGCTATTGTTTGATTGTTTATTATCATAGCGAGACCGACACCGTCATTTGTTTTGGATGCATCAGTGTATATGTGTACGCTGTTTGGGTGTTCTTGCAATATGTTGTTGAGCATGTTTTTATATATGGAGGGCATTGTGTTTTCTTTTTTGAATTGAGTTAAAGTAAGGTTAACATTGAATGTTGTGTTCCAAGGGGGAAAATTGTACGGTTTTCTTTCTAAAATATTGTTTATTTTTATATTTTCTTTTTCGGCTTGCTGTATGTGTTCATTTATTACTTTGATGGCTGGATTGTTGATATTTCTTTTGGTTCTGGCACAATATAATAGCAGTAGTTTTTCTCTTCTAAGGTTAGGTGGGATTTCATTAGCAATGTTTCTAATACTCTCAATTGGGCTGGATTTATTTTCAATAAATCACTTATATTTTGAACACTGATTGGCCGAAGTGATAATTATAAAATAACATAAACAACAACATTATAACAATATTCATGTACTGCTTATACCTACATAATAATATAATATATAATAATTATTGAAACGATACATAGTAAACCGTCGAAATCTATGTTTTTTTTTACCACGATAAAAATACCCGATTTTATTGGACAAATATACGGTTTGATTATTGACCAAATGCTCTATGCAGAATAAATTGGTTGAGTGTGTTTCATAAGTGCACCAGAGCTGGAAGGTGGTCGGTGATTCCGTCACTGATGGAGGTGGTCTTGACATGGACACAGCAAGCACCTTCAGATGGACTCGTGGCGAACACCAATTCATCAATACGTCTACCAAATGTTTCTCTATTCGAAAAGTACTGATCTCTTACGGATTTCACGAATCTTTCGGCGCCATCCGACGGCACCATGACCACGACGCATCCTCCCCAACTGAAACGCACCACAAAAATTTACATATTACTGGTTGTCTGCAGTAACTGTAGTTTGAAAAACGTGAACCGGCATAATTTTACTGCAGTTCTTATGTGGATAATAATATTTAAATTTAAGTTTTGTTAATCTTAGAACACCTAGTATTTGTACCCACATAAAATAATACAACGATTAAATGAAATCAATGAATTATTATTTGGCAATCATAGGTACCCTCTAAAAGTATATAACCTTATTTTTTTTTTAAATTATCAGTTCCATTGATTTTATTTGATACGTCTAAAACTGTATTCTGTCTTATCTGAATTCTTAGAAACGAAAGTGTTATATAAATATTATGATAGAGATGATTTGATTTAATAATATATTATGTGCCCATTTATGTGTATTGTATAATATTATCTATAATATCAAAAAATGACGGTCTGATTAAACACACGCTGAGAATTGGTGAGAATACTGAGAATTAAGTCACTTCATTTTTGAAATCAACTATTGAATAAACTCAAATGCTTAAAAATAATATTAAAAATAAAGTATTTTTATAAAATGCATATAGTCAATAGCCGTACAATGTTCAAACTATGTTAAGGTGCATTATACGGTTGTCCTAAAATATACACATAGTTCATACAATATACATAATATAATAATGCGGTAAATTATACATAGGTAATCTGAGTCAACTGTATTTCACACAAGTATTAAAAAATTGATCTTTTGACTGATAATTTTATAAATTGTTTTATCACGAGTTTATTGTGTAATTACTGATTAATATACAAATATATAATCTTATATACCCGGCACCGGTGAGTTTGCATCCGTATGCGCCTTCCCGTTTGCAGAGTGCCACCAACTCCTCCAGATCCGGATGACTGCATTGATAAAGGTCTCTCAGTGACGAATGACTGTCGTCCATTAGTCTCCCGAGGTCCGACGCTCCTCCGGAGTTTTCACACAGCCTGCAGAACTCTTCCATCCGTTTGGCCTCTGCAGGAAAATACAAATGGTTAGTAAAAAAACTAAACTTTGTTAGTAATAACAAAAATGTCTATTTTTTTTAATAATTAATATTGGAAAGAAACTGTTTAATCTGTTGTATTTTTTTTTTTTTATTAAAAAATATATTATATAAATTAATATACAATTTACAGTTTGCAAAATTAAAATTAAAAATAGATTCGTTGTTTGGAACAAACAAAGAACACGATGGTGTGAGAGAAGGGACACTAAATACCTATTGATTGTGAAACTAATAACTATCCATAAAATCGAGTTTAATGGACTGCTACGTAGAATATTTTTTATTGTAGGTACCACATATTTATAATTTCTATAATAACTTATATGGGATTTTTTTACATTTTATCTCTTAAAAACTATAGGTAGGTAGTAGGTACAAGTTTAAATCTATTATTTTTATTTTATATTTAGACGATAAATTCGGTTTTGTTTTAGCATGTTTTGACATTTTTGATGCATTTTCTGGTATACATAATTACTTTTTGAGAACTACAACGGTTGCTAGCTTAAGCCGATATTTCATAATTCCATCACCACTGCCTTCTATATTATATAAGCATAACATTTTAAATCGCCACCTTCGAACACGTGCAGAGCTCTCTGGTGCAAGTAAAATTCGGCGACGTCCGTCGTGTTGGCCGTCAAACTGAGCTCGTCGAGTCGGTCTTCGGACACCGACAAGATTTCACACACCTATACAATAAATATATTATATGTGAAAAAAATAAAAAATAATCGTTCAAGTCATCAAGTCGTATATAAACAGTGTACTCTATAGCGACAGGCGTAATAGCATATCGACCAATCGTCGTCGTACCTCTGACTTGGAATATCCTTCGACGTGCAAGTGCTGGTGAACCAACTCGATCATTTGGTCCAAAGAGTTGCCCGAACGCTTCTGGAGATTCGCCAGAACGGTCATCTGCTCCCATTCGAGATTCAATTTCTTGGCGATTATCTGAAACCCGCGATCACGATATTTTATAATCGATTGGTGTCAAACATGAATGTTAAAATAATATTATGTAATTCATAATTTATATCACTATGTAAATATATCAAATTATTGGCAGATGTGTATTGATACGCAGTTCTTTAAAAACGCAAGATTTATCGTATCTGCTTGTTTTCGATAAACATCAAATTGCAGCAAGAATTGAGATTCCAATAAAACATCTTCCGGCGAGGTTAAGTTAGTAAAATCGTGTTTGATAAAAAAAATTAAAAGTCTCGACGAGCTCGTCGTTCGTCAATTATTCGATTAATTTAAAGAAATAATATAATAAACGATTTAGGCTCAAAGCTACCCTGAACATGTTAAAATACATGGATTTAAGAACGCTAAATATCTAGTATTTTTCTTTCGAAAACAACGGTTCTTGTTTAAAATATTTATTACTTTTGTTGATTTCGGGAGTAACTGGTTGATATATAAATGCGGATGAAATATGACTTATCGTATGGGGTTCTGGGCGTATTCCAAAAGAAAAGTTTACCTGCGAAGCCAGTCTGCATTCCACTACCCTCGTGTTGAAGTCGTTCGATGCCGCTTTGTTCTTGACGGCTAAACTCTGAGCCACAACGAACTTGGCGTCGGCCGGAAGCCGGAATTGTTTGACCGCCAACGGATTGAAGTCGATGCGAGCCGCGTAACCTTTAATAATATTATACCGAGGAACAATAATTAATTATAATACTAATAATAATAAAATAACTATACATTTATAAAATATGGTTGATTAATGTATAGAAATATTATATTAAATTATAATAATATAACAATATATAGGTACGATTACGTTCGGTCACCTTGTTTGGCGTTCACGGCTATCGCTTGGTCCATGCCGCCGCCGGCCGTGCCGATGTATCTTTCGCATTTGGCGCTGATTTCTGCCAGCTCGAGTCTACTAATCGGCACCTATAAACAAAAATGTCATCGTATACGTTTTGCCTACACGGTACGCCGTCTTTAGAGAAGTGAGATTATGTACATTTTGATGTTTTTTTTATCACTGTTGCAATGGTTGTGATATTATAATACGAAAAATACAGAGAAAGTGAAGACTTTGTTTTACATATAGTATAAAAACGATTATTTTTTAAACAAATTCAAGTAAAGTCAAGTTTGAGTACCTATTAAAAAAACATAAAGGTATGCATACATTATACATTCAGTATACCATATTCATATTTATGTACGTACAAAATTTTACGTTTATATAATACTGTTATGAAGCCTTAAGGCTCGTACATTTTGGTAGTTTTAGGTTTCTAAATATAAGTTTAGAACACTTTATATATCCCTGTTGTGCTCGTCCGTCCGTCCGTTAGTTACCAGTATACATAGTTACGACTGTTGATATTAAGTTAATTACTTATTAGTTCCTTACTAGTATTTAATATAGTTTCATATACTACCAAAATATTATGGTTACCAAATTCTTGAAATTATACAGTTGATTGCTATGTATTACAATACGTTTTGGAAACCGCGGGAATTTATCAAGCTCGTGGAGTGAGCCTTCCTAACTTTTTACATTTATTATTATATGTATATATTATAAAACTATTTATATTTGCATGATATATATATATATATACATATAAGAATATTAAAAGGTAATGTAAATATTATAATAGATTTACTCACTCCGTATCCGACCAGCGTGGCCATCACCGCGGCCGTCACCAGTGCACTTGAACTGCTCAATCCCGAACTCTCGGGAATGTTACCGGTGATCGCGAATAGAAAACCGACTTTTTCGAAGGTTTTCAGCTGACTATTGCTCAAGTACTCTCGGGCTCCCTTCACGCCGCACATAAAATAGTTCGACCAACTCGGAGTCTTTCCCAACGACTCAGCGCTGCATTCGGATAAATCGATTTTTTTTAGTTGGGTTATATTTTTCACAAATCGGAAGTCGTAGCAGGTTCGATTTATTTACCTTATGTCCGATATATTTTTCGAGACGTTTTCGTACCGCTCCGTACACAGGTTGGTCAACTCCACGGTTTGCCGGTCGGTTGTCCTCTTCGCCGCCACTACGATACACTGATCGATGGCCATCGGGAAAACGGAATAACCGCAATAATCTACATGTTCGCCTATCAAGTTCACTCTTCCCGGTACTTTGACGTAGTATTCCGGTTGAAGGGATTCGAAATTTTCGCGAAAGTGTTGCTCCAACTTTTGAACTGGTACGTTATTTGATGACGTTCCCCAAGCGTAATCGACTTCCATTTTCAATCTAAAATAATTATTTACAAAAATTATTTGACTATATTTTTATCCGCCAGAAAGACGAAAACTTATAAAATTCCAACAAAAATTATTGTTATAATTTGTAATAATTACAAGTATTGACATACGTCATAACTTAACACTTTTGTAATTGGAAAATAATACCTAAGAATAATACGATAATAATTGTAGTTTTCAATAGTAATTTAATTATGATATTACAATATTATGACATCAAAGTGAAAATGTGAACTCCAATTATTGAATTATTGGTTATCTATATAAGTTATTACAAGTAATAAATAACAATAATATAACTCGTTATTACGTTACTATAGACTATAGAGTATCATCGTTAACTCGTTTGGTTTTGAGTTTTCAAGACGTTTCGGTAAGGAGAGAATATTTTAATTTATAATACATTTGTAATAAACCTCATAACGCCACATGGAACCCTGTTCCGAAGATTTCACCGAATCATTAACATTTCCTAGCAATAAGCGACGATCGTTTGTGCGAGAACAGTTTATGGTTACCAAGTTGATTATAAATTATAATATTATTATGTAACAGAACAAGACGTGTTTTGACAGTGTTTGGCAAATTATTACAGAATTTCCTTGTTGCATATTATAATATAATATATTAAAAGCAAAGATTATATTACACAACGAAAAACCTCATTCCAATAATTTACAAAAATAACAGAAATCAATACAACCATTGTTTACATAGGGTCAACAAGCAGTATTGTTAATATTAATGATGGAATTTCGTTTTGATAGTAAATCACACGTTTACGACGTTTTTACATCCCAGAAGTCTCAAACCTTAAGTTAATTAATGAATTAAAATTAAATTTGTTAAAAAAATTTTGGCGACACTATCAATAATTATCAAAGTATAATTACTGTGTTATTATAGAGACTCTGATAGCTTATATGAGCCCACAATTTATAAGTTGTACTTGAAAGATTAAACTTTGAACAAAAAGTATTCAATAGTACACAGTACTACTGCAGTGTATCCCAATAAAAACTAAAACAAACTTTGTATGTTACAAATCTCCGTACCATCCTAATTATCTCCATGGCAAATTAATATGTTTGAATTATATTTTTTAGTAATCTATACAAGTAAGTTATCTATATATCATAAAAGAAAATGTATGTCATTGAATTGGAATCTTATCGAATATCTAACCTTTGAATAAACAGCATTCAAATATATGGATATGTCACTGACTATACAAATATAATATACTTGGGGGTGATTTGGTAATTTTGGGACATATATTGTGGGTGTTATATAAATTATAACTAATGTACAATATATATCGAATAGGACACGTCTCTTTAGTGATTGGTGGATTAGCGCGTAGGTACGTGCACTTGCAAAACGATGTGTACAATTATTTTGTAAATTATTATAATATTTTATGCACTGCGACTAGCGGGATGTTAATACAATAACTACTGAAATACCTGTCGAGATAAGATAAACAAATACTCGAGTTACCTATTATAAGTAAATAATAATAATTGTTGTCTGCGGGGGCATGTGTCTATATAATATAATTAAATAGTTCTTATCGAAACGTTATTTACAACGGTTTTATCATTAATCTCGACAAACTGCTGCAGCAAAGTACAGGTATGCATTTGAAACCCTTGGATTTAATTTTTCGAGGCATGAGTGGTGAAATGTAAATAATGGATCGGCGAGTATGAAAAAAAACCCAAAAAAATACAATTTACATAGCTAAACGACAGACGTTTTAATGTGAATATTGCAGCTTCGACGATTTGCGTGATGTTTAATAATGGTAATGCAATACGGATATAGCCTGCCCATTAATACTTATATATAATATAATATAGCCAATATAGGTTATCTTGATTGCTGCGTTGGCGTACTACGATTTCGTTTCAACATGCAACACAATATTACACGCTTCTTATAGTCAGATGTCTATATATTGTAAATGTGTATATCTTCATTTGGCAAAGAAAAGAAAACGATATGTGATAACTGATAGTAATTAAATATATTTTATATGTACTGCACAGCAATGTAAGTATAGTTACCAGCGTGGAACTTGACTGATGGTGAGATTAATTAGGTAGTATTATTACTTGTCGTAAAAATCAAATAACAATATTTTCAATGGTACAATGCTTCATTTTGTACAGTCTCATACAACCTATACATACACAATTTTGTACACCTCCCCGAACACAAAAAACTCGATTTACCCTCTAAAACCCCCAGCACTAAAAATCGGCAACTGGTTGTGGTAGAGTTTTAAAATGTAGACAATTGGGCAAGTACCAGGGCACACGCGGTGTAGGTTATTGACATTACTGCGTTGGTGTATTGCGATTTCGCTTCAACACATAACATAACATTACACGCATCTTGTCTGTATATTACTGTAAATGTGTATGTTTAGGAAAGAAAAGAATACAACATGTGATAGAAATTAAAAATATTTTATGTCTACGTCATATTGCAAGTAGTATACAAGCGAGGATCAGACTGCAGCCAGGGGAAAGGTACTTATTACTCGTCGTAAAATTCGAATAACATAATTTGACCGTAAAAAAATGCATTCGAAACACTTTGTGTACATATTATAATATTACTATATGGGAAATTAAGGGACTTTGCGGCATCACGAGAGCAAAATAAATTAAATAATGTGCACAGATACAGCAGATTATGGTCGGAAGTCAGATGTATATATCTATGGCAAAATAAGCATTAGAAATAGCAGTTGAACGAAACAAGATTTAATAACTTAATAAAACTTCATTGTACTAATATGTGACAGATAAACTGGACGTCTGTTCGCACGAAATAATTTATTATATTGTATTATTATGATACATAAATTCGCATATAACCCAACGTCCGTTAAAAAAACAATAAAGTTCCTAACGTGTACGGAGTACGAAAAACAAAAAACTGTATAAATGTTTTTGTGTAATGAAAATAATGTAAAATAAAATACGTATATAATATAAATACACTCGCTTCTGTAGACCACTTCACTTTATGTGGTGGTATATATGGTATATAATGGTAAAATAAAATATTTATTTTTTATTTTTTTATCATTAACATTTATGAATATATTATTATGTAGGTAATGTGATATAGAAACGATACTATAATTAAGAAATAACGTAATTGAAGCACAGGCCACGGACACATATTTTAAATAGGTACAAATATTGAAATATATTATATAGGTAATAAATAATCAAGGGGTTGGGCCGTTGGGTAAAATACATTTGTACAGCGATCGTAAACTTAATTAATTTTTTTTGTGTAAAAAAACAATTTCAGATAAGAACAACTAACATGAAAAATACCTTAAAAAGTTGTCACGTTCGGGTAATAATAAAAATTATTGTTAAACACGTCGTCTATAGAAAACCTTAAAACTGTCATTGTGTATTATATTTATTATCCAGTAGCTTACACATTTTTTCGAACTAAATCAATTTGACGATTTTACCATTCATACTACCTACTATTAATGATCATATTAAAATTACCGGCCGAGAACGCTATATTATATCTACTTGCGGACGCCTTCAAAACGGATTTGGAAAAACAATTTTATAGTTTTAAAAAAATAATATTATAAAAGTCTTAACGAAATTCCTTCATACAATATTGTAATGTGAAATCAGAAGTACAAATCGCATAATAAACCTACACATAATTATAATATAATAATAATAATTTAAATAACAACGTTGTAATAATAATTTTAATCGTAGATCTGTAATAGTATTGAACTAACAGCTTAAAAAAAAAAAAAAATAATATTTTCATCACCTATATACAATGAAGGGACGGGGACGAGTTTCGTTCGCGTACGTGGAACTTACCGCCGCCCCTCCCCCACTGAAGTCGGTGGTTTTTGTGATAACAGTTAGAGATAATAATGTATAATATATTAATATTATGTATATATTATACTCACGAGCGGGCGTCGTCGTCGTCGGGAAACGTTCGGGTCGCGTGCAGGTCGGACGTGCGCTGTACGCGGACTGCAAACAGCTGCTGCTTGGAACACAGGAGTGCCCGCGCCACCGTCGCCGCCACCCCCCGACCGGCCGACGACACTGGACGACGGGCGTGGCGGCGCCGGATTTAATCGGCACTCGACGACGTTTTTGTCTTCGGTCAGCTAAAAAATAATAATATATAAAAACCAAACGTCGTTGTTCGTTGCTCCGTACCTACCGCCGCCGACCGGAGACGCGACTGATTATAATATTGTATTTTAAATTATTTCATAATATAAATTACCTACCTACGTTAAGTTTTTCGAGATCACGGTTTGCAATATTTGTATAGGATACCACTGTCGCCTTCGTGCTTCGTCAAGATGGCAGGCAGTGCCAGATTTAGGTGATATTGTCGAAGGGGAGCAGACATTGAAAGAATATAGGTACCTAAGAATATAGTATGAACAATGTTTAAAAATTACACGGTTAAAAATAGTTGATTTTTAGTTTATAAAAGTAGATGCCTATATTTTTTATATTTATACAACATAATTGTAATTTCCTGTCATTCTCTCCAAGTTTATATCAATAACACTCTAACGATTTGTACGGTTCTGTGAATGGACAGCATCACCAGTCCGTTTAATCTGTCTTGAAATTAAAATTAAATTCATATACATAACAAAAAGCAACCATAATATAGTATTATAGTAATTGTTAGTTTATTTAGGACAATATACGCTTGTCTAACGTCATTCATAGTGGTTCTAAGATAAGTCTTTGCTAGTTTCAAACAAAAAAAAAATGAATATGTTGTGTATTTTTTTTAGCAGATGTATGACAGGGCACATAATTATTCTGCAGTCATAATTATATATTATAATCAGTTGTGATAAATATATTTTCAAGACAAAAAAAAGATAAAAAGAAGAGATATATACCTCCCTAATATCTCCTCTAATTACTCAACTGTTT